GTGTCATCTTCAACCTCGGGCCAATTTTCTAAAACTTCATTTTTAATCATAAAACTTCGATTAAACTATATAGAAATATTCTCCAAAGTTCACAGATCATTTAGCATCATTAGTTTTTAGTTTTAACAACAATTTCAAGGTTTATTATTCTTGGTTTTTCAAGCATGTCAAACACAAAACTCTAGCAAACGACCGTTTATGAACATAGAAACCATCTATACGAACATTCTAGTCACTAGATATATCTAAGGGCTTAACGTGGACTTAAATGGAGGTTTTAGAAATTTTCCGATGAAACTGTAGGCAACGATTATGGCTTAATTTGGCAATCTCTTACAAATTGACAGCACCACTACACTCCTCTCTCAACCAAAAACAGAATAGAAGAATGGAGAGAATTGGTGTAGATATGAAGAAGTGAAGAGTTCCTTATATAATGGTTCTGATGAGAATGAAGCTAGAGACGTCTCCTTCAGAAATCATGTGATCGCCATAGTGCGCAGGATGACCGATTCGTAGAATTTTACACGTCATTCCCTGATTGGGACGAGTTTGGTCCCAGTTGGGGTACACTTTTTGCTCCAACTTTCTTCGAATTAAATTTCGTTTGCACCGTTGCGATCGAACAACCAAATTCAATTCAGCGACATAAATTATATATTTATTTGGAATACTTTTTCCGGTATCATATTTTTGGATGTTTGACTTTGACAGGGTCAAAATTGATTTAGTTGACCTTTATTCAAAAAGGTTCTTATATTTAATTCATATTACTTATTCTCATGACTTATTTGAATATATCATTTCAAAGTTTACATCATGAATCAATGCAAATTCTTTATTTATTTTTGATTTGGGTCCGTACTCTAGTTCCCAATCAAGATCACACAAATTTGGGTCTGTACTTTAGTTCGAATTAAATTCCGTTTGCATTGTTGCGACCGGACAATCAAATTCTATTCAGCGACATAAATTATATATTTATTTGGAATACTTTTTCTAGTATCATGTTTTTGGATGTTTGACTTTGACAGAGTCAAAATTGATTTAGTTGACCTTTATTCAAAAAAGGTTCTTATATTTAATTCATATTATTTACTCTCATGACTTACTTGGTCCGTGTAACACCCCAACCCGCGTGACCCGAATACATGGATCAGCGGATCGGGTTGCTACTAAATTGACATTCAAACGCAATAATTTTCCAAAACAATTTAAAACATTTAATTCAAAACAATATTTAAATATCCATCAGAGTAAATCAAAACGGTTGCGGAAGCCTTTAAGTATTTAATCAAAATACAACTTTGGGTTCTTGCCCTTAAGAATATAATAATTCAAACTTAAATATTAAACCAGATAACTCCTCCAGCCAGCATCCATCCATCATCTCGTCCTCTCTGCCTTCCAGGATAGCTCCTTATTCATCGTTCCTGTTACCTACGTGTAGCAAATAGGAAAAAGGGCTACACGCTCAGCAATGAAGCTGAGTGGAATCTATCTAACGTTCGACTACGCACATAGACGAACCCACTAGCTCATAATTCCATACAATATCATGCACATAAGTACAACATCATTAATATCATATAACAATAACTAAATAAATTCACCAATCACAATTCATTACCTTATTTCTTCTTTATCCATAGCTCATAACAAAATTACCAGACTAAGTCCATACTTCATTATTTACAACCTTATGTTCAGACTTAGAGCCACTACCTACGGCCATGACTCAAGTCTACCTTATGACACAACACAACCTGATGACCAACGAAGGAGTTCTCCGCTGGGTGGGTGGTACCCCTGTCCCCTTCGGAACGACAGTTCTTGGATCCCGTACTTACGTTTTCACCCGCATCCGCCGGATATCAGATCCGCAGGGTTGATCCTAACTATTGACATTTATACTTACAATTGTACTAAGGCAGCCCTAGAGTTCCCCTAGGTAGCCTAGTCATTTATTTACAACATCTCTATAATTCAGACTTATTCCAACCCAATCTCAATTCCTTATTTACTTCCAAAACACAACAAGAATATATTTAATTATAGCCAGGCATATAACGTTAATCAGTTAATCCATCATAGAACTCAATTAGTGGCCTAGTGTCGGGTGTAAACACCTTCCAATTACCGTCATGCAACACGTAAGGTTTCAGAGTAAATTCGGGTTCCAAATTGGGTCAAACAGTCAAACAACGAAGACTTGCAGCTGCCGGTACGGTACCCGTCACGGTACCTTGGTATCGCCTGGCGGTACCCATATCTGCTAAGAACAGATTATGAGAATGTGATAAAGTCACTGGTGAAGCTTGGCGAGTTAGAGGAGGCTATGAAGTTTGTCAAGGAGTGGGAAGTACTCGGTAATTGGCGCAGTGTGGATAATATTAGCATTCCTTATTCAGTCATTGTGGCGTACATAAAAAATGGTTCATTGCAAAAGGCATTTTATAGAGTCATAGAGTGGACTAATAAGCGGAAGGCCGGTGTCGACAAACTTTCGCTTTTACTTTGTGATGAATACCTCAAATTGGGTGATCTGTTTATTGCATTTGACCGCTTTCAGGTAGATGGTTGTATGCTGTTTGAACCTGTAGAGGTTCAGAGGTTGTTTCTCCAATACGTAGAAGAAGAATGTGGATCATTTTTCCCATTACGCTGCAGTCGGTCATTGTGCACATGATCCCTTAAAACTGATGCGGGCAAAACATGCTTAGAAATCATTCCAATCAAGGAGAAAAACAAAATCAAGGTCGCTCTACGGATGCACCCCAAGAATTCAACCCAATCATTAAACAAGGATTATGAGAATATAATAACTGTTGAAATATTGGAAATAATATTATTGCTCATTGAATTATGAAGTACATGATAGAGTATATATAGGAGAGATACTCCTAACACAATTAAGAATAGAGAATGGAAACTAACTAACATACAACATCTACCACAAATAGGATTAGGAAGCTGACTAATAATGAAACACTACCATAACCAATACTACAATAAGTACTATTATTATTATTGTCTAACATCCCCCTCAAGCTGAACTCTGGATAAAGTAAGAGGAAGCTTGGACAATAGCTAGAAACTGGAAACTTTGAGAAGAGAGAAGTGTGACATAAGACGGTGGCTGCTCACGTCGTTCGAGAAGAGATAAGTGTGACGAGCGTCGGTGGCTGCTGACGTCGTAGGAGGAGAGAAAAGTTTGACGTGCACTGGTAGCTGCTAACGTCGTTGGAGAAGAGAGAAATTGACGTGCGCTAGTAGCTGCCGACGTCGATGAAGAAGAGAGAAGGTTGACGTGCGCTTGTAGCTGCTGACGTCGAAGAAGAATAGAGAAGGCTACTGGAGGTGCCTATTTGGCTGAAGATCCTTGACATTCTTTGTCTTTCTCTTGGATCCAGGCAATGCCCCGTTTCTTTCTTAAAGGGGTGAGTTGTAGAGGTATTCTTTCCTCTTTCACTACTTCCCTTTTGGCTTTGCTTTTGTGCTGATTTACTTTGTACGGAGTATTTTTTTATTGGTTCAACAGAAGAGAAAGAGAAAGGAGATTGATGATTAGAATGAGTGATTTGGGAGAGAAGAAAGTGGGTTGAGAATTGGTGATGGTGAATTGTAGAGAAACAACAATTTTTTTTTCTTTTTTTTTTTTTGAGAAGATAGGATGATCTGAGAGAGTTTGTGAAGAGTTGAGTTTTTTTTTTTTGAAGAACCATGGAGATGACAAGAGAGAAGTTTTCCTTTTGATGGTTTTTTTTTTGTGATTCAACAAGGGTTTTTTTTTCATTTGAGTGGAGAAGTTGATTTGAGGATAAAGAAGGAAAAGAAAATAGAGGTGATTAGGGTGGAGCCGCCATTGCCGGAATTACCGGCGGCGGCGGTGGGAGCAAAGTTCTTTTTTTAGGTCACCAAGAGTGGTGGCTCTGATACCATGTTGAAATATTGGAAATAATATTATTGCTCATTGAATTATGAAGTACATGATAGAGTATACATAGGAGAGATACTCCTAACACAATTAAGAATAGAGAATGGAAACTGTTGTCGTACGGCTCAAGCACAAAGGCCGAATCCCACTAGGATTCGGTTTACCTTATTTGCTTAAACTTCCTTGTTTCCTTGTATGCTTTAGTTTCCTAGTTAGAGTTTATTTCTTTTCCCAGTTGGAGTTGGTTTCTTCCCTTCTATAAATAAGGGAGAGGTCTCTTTGTATGGGGGAAAATTCAGAACAACAGAATATACAAAACTATTTTCTCTCAATTGTTTGTTAACATGGTATCAGGGCCAATCTCTAGGTCTACGTCATAAGCAATTCTCGCCGATCAGAAGGGTGAAAATTCGAACCGATGGCAGGGAAGGATGCAGAAACTCCGTCCTCTAAAACCGGTGGTAACGGCAAAGATGGGGAAGAAAACATCGACAAACAGATTGCCAGGAT